TCAGTAAATAACGTCGCGATGTCAGCCCTCTTCCTGCACGAGAAAAAGTGCTGTCAATCAGCCTTTCTGATGGTTACAGGAATTCTTAATGACGCGTTTATTCACACAGATTTCTCTGCTCTGGGTAAATTCTTTTGTCCCCCTGCCAGACCACAAAGTGCACAGCGGTCGATGGCAGAATTATGAGAAACGTAATTCACTTTGTAGATCTAATGAGCAGACAAGTAGGAAGCCACCAGCCCCAGCCTGGGCCGCCTCGCGTGTCCGGGCCCGCTCCTCCTGGGAAACGGATCCGTGCTGCCTGGTGCTGGGCGGGGGCGGCCTCATCATCCTCCAGTCACATTTTTCCAAGCACACTGTGGTCAAGCCATGGCCCCAGCCCCTTCCTGTCCCTATCCCCCAATGTCCCCGAGGCAGGTCCCTTTAATACCCAGGGTGCATTGGGAAGGCCCTGGCTGGGCCCTCTCCATCCTGGCAGACACTCCCAAGTTCTGTCCCGTGCTGGAGGTGAACACGCTTGTCACTGGCCAAAGAGTGAGCTGGGGACATTTTGCACAGCAGGGGACCCTGTGGCCGCAAATGGAGTCCGCCGGCGGGGTGGTGGAACAAGAGGACACCGGCTGCCCGGCAGCCCCATGAGGACGAGGCCGTGCCCCACCCAGCGGGAGGCTGGGGGACCCCGGGTTCCGACAACGCTGAGCCAGAGAGACAACACAACCAGGTTTTGGGGAGGGAACCCCAGCCCTTGGGGCCTCAGCAAGGGGCATTGACTTTGGCCACTGAAGGGGCACTGGACCGCGTGTTTGTTTTTCATGTGCACACCCATGAGACCAGCACACACAGGCACGCACAGCTGCACTCACGCCCTCCGACCCCAGGCAGAAGGCACGTGCAGACAGCGGCAGGGCCTCAGTTTCCGTCCCTGGGACCCGTGGAGCTGTTGCCGGATCAGGCTGTGCAGTGCTGCCTGGGACCCACCGGGGGACTCGCCCAGCTGCATGCTCGGGGCCTGCGAGGTGGAGACACGACAGTTTCCATCTGCCTTGGATTGTGATGCTGCCGGTCGGGGAGCAGCTCTGGGGGACCAGGCCTGGCCACGCATGATGGTGTCGGTGGAGACGGCTTCCGATGAGGTCGGGTTCGTGCCTGGGCACGTCCTGCACATTCGAGGGCACAGACGTGGGGATCTGTGGGGTGTCAGCGGGTGGGGACAGGGAAGACCCGGCAGGGCATGAGGGGGCACCAGGGACACTGGAAGCCGTCCCAAAGCATCTGAAAGTCCCCGAAGGGCCACATTTTCCAGCCGTTCTGGGCCTGTAGCCAAGAGGTCACTACCCTGCCCACTGTCACCTCCCCAGGGCGCCAGGCCAGGAGCTCGGAGCCACCCGGGCCCTCCCAGGTGCAGCCCTGGGCAGGCAGCCCCACTCCTCCGAGGCTGTGTTTGCTCATCTGTGAAGGGGGTGAGTAGAGCAGGTCCCTCCCAGGGCTGATGGAGGCTCAGGCACTTTCCCGGCCCTGTGGGGCTCAGAGCGAAGGTGTCACGGGTGGGAGTGGAGGTTTTTATTCTACCCTTGCCCCATGTGGAAGTCCTGCTCTCCCCGTCAGCTGCCTGTACGTGTCTCCGCGCCTCCCTCTGCCCACACAGCCTGGCCTGGAGCCTGTGGTGCTGAGCTCGGCAAGGGCAGGGGCCCTGCACGGCGCTGGCTGACCCTCCGTGCGGCTCGCTCCCAAGGAAAGAGGGAACAGGGCGACCGTGCCCTTCTGCTTCGGGCTTGCTCAGGGCCAGAGGCTGCTCCAGACGCCTGAATGCAGCCTCATCTTACCCCACAAGCTTATGAGGCAGATGCTGAACCTTACAAAGGAGGAAACAGGCCCAGAGAGGCACGGCAGCACAGACGGGCAGAGTCTGAGGCTCTTCCACCGTGGCCTCACTGGGGCTTCCCCTCTGGAGCCGGTGGTCCTGCCCTGGGACTGGCCTCCATGCCACTCTCTTGGCCGAGGGATTCGTGTGTCACATCCGGGGCAGACAGGCTGCTTGTCTGATCATTGCTCACTCGGTTAAGGTGACCTGGGGGTTTCTCCATCGTGACGACACCTCCCTGTGCACTGGAAGGTGACCCGTGGGTGACACTTCTGGGCAGTCGAGTATCCCATCCCCGTCCACCTCCCACCCGGTGGCTGAGCACCCAGGAGGGCCGGATGTGGGTCCGTTGTTGAGTGGGGATTTTCTAGTCCTGCCGCTGCCTGTGAGCCTGGAGCCCGCCGTTCCTCCGGGAAGCAGAACTCCCCTCCCCACCCCTTTTCTTAGACTCAGGATTTGTTGTAATTAGATATTTTTACTGTTTCTCTGCCCTTTTGAGTGGTGCCGGGCCTGTCCCCTGTGTCCTCGAAATGCCACCGTCACTGTCTGAGCAAGTCCTCAGCTCGGAGAGGTGGTCGGCCCAGACTCAGCCACTTCCCCGGCGGCCCCACAGGGAGGGGAGGAGGGGGAGGGAACGCCGTGTGCTTTCCTGGGCTCCTGCTGGCTGCTCCGTGGAAGAAGCCGCAGGGGTGAGGGCGGGGCAGGGGCCGATGAGGAAGCAGCTGCAGGGACTCGAGCCCAGGGCAGCCTGGACCCAGGGGGCAGCGGGGGTCCGAGAAGTCGGGAGCCCAGGGTGACCTGGACCCGGGGGGCAGCGGGGGTCTGAGAAGTCGGGTCAGGATGTCCATCAGAGGCAGAGCTGACAGAATTTGCTGCAGAAGCCACTATGAGTGGATGGGAAAGAGCTGCCAAGGCTGAACCCAGTGCCCTGGTGTGATCACTTGTGGGGACAGAGTGGGCGCTGATGGGATGGGGGCTTGGAGTGGACTCTGAGGCTGGGAAAGGAGGAGTTTGGTTTTGTGGATGCTGGACCTGGGTGTCTCCGAGACGTCCAGGCGGAAAGACTGACACACGCGGCGGGTGGATTTACGAGGCTGCAGTTCATGGAGAGGTCCGGGCAGCAGCAGGTACCACTTGGAGCCGACAGATAATGGATGGTTTCTAAAGCCACAAACAGGGTGAGGCCTGGGGAGAGGGTGAGCAGAAGAGGAGAAACCCGAGGGCTGGCCTGGAGTCCTGCAAGGATCCGTGGTTCGAGGCGTCCCTCCCACCCAACCCCACAGGTCTGCAAGGTTTGCATGTGTCAGCGCTGCAAGGAAGCAGGTGGAGTTAGCTCCGTTGGACGGCTGTGGTGCCCTTGGCCTTTCCCAGCACAGGGAGACAGCGCGTGTGACCGTGATCTGTTGGGGAGGGGAGGGGAGGAGCAGGCAGCACGGGCGTTTGGGGGCTGCTGGGATGGATTTTGGGGTGATAGGAACTGAGGAACCAAAGGTGCTCTATGGTCTTTGGCTTGAGGAATGGGCGGGGGTGGCATTCACTGGGCGGGGCACTGTGGGAAGAACAGAGTCTTCCCGGGGGGAGTGGTGTGGACCTGTGAAGTCTGCAGGGCCCATGTGCACCGAGGCAGGTGTGAGGGGCGGCGAGGCTGGGCTCCGACACTGGCATTCTGGACACCCAGAAACAAGAGGCATCATGGAGAGACCCAGAAGGGCTGGGGGAGACCAGGCCCTCCCCAGGGTTCAGGCTGGGGATTTTGGTGTCTGCCAGGAGTGGCAGAGGGAAGGGGAGTGATTGGGGTCCCCTGGGGGCCGTGGTGGGCTGAATGGTTCATGCTGCACTCAAACCCAGGACCCACTTTCCACGTCTCCTCCAGCACCCAGAGGCTGCAGATGCACACTTGGGTTTTCAGCGGGCTCTGAGTCCCTCAGATGTGGGGACGGTCTCTGCTGACTGGGACCCACTTCTCACGTCCTGAGTCCCCAGTGTGGGTTGCCGCACAGCCCGGCCACCCCGGCCGAGGGCACGTGGCCACGTGGTGTTGGGGGCTGGGCGTCTCGGGACTCGGTGGAGAAGGGGCCTGGGCTGGAGCCTCTCCTGCTGCCTGGGGTGCCTGGGCTTTGCCTGTGCCGGTGCCGGGTGTCCACTGGGCTGCCCACCCTCTACTCCTAGATGTGCATGTATGCCCCAGGCCCAGCGTTTTCAACAATCCAGAAACCTCCAGAACCTTCTGGAAAGGCAGCAGGCAGGGCAGCAGTGGAGCAGGCGTGAGGCTTTGTGCCCTGCTCTCCCGGCTTCTCTGAGCTTCTGGCGTGGGGACCACTGCAGGTTGCTCACCCAACACTTGGCCAGCCTTCGAGGACTTTCCTCCACTGCCAAACCAGGACACTTGCCAGAGGGGCCCTGGGAGAGAAACAGAGGGCCCGGGGGCTGCTGGGAGGGCCCTGGAGAGAAACAGAGGGCCCGGGGGCTGCTGGGAGAGGCTGTCCTGGGAGAGAAACAGAGGGCCCGGGGGCTGCTGGGAGACAGAGGGGCCCTGGGAGAGAAACGGAGGGCCCGGGGCTGCTGGGGGAGGGAAACAGAGGCCCGGGGCTGCTGGGGAGACAGAGGGGCCCTGGGAGAGAAACAGAGGGCCCGGGGGCTGCTGGGAGACAGAGGCCCTGGGAGAGAAACGGAGGGCCCGGGCTCTGGGAGACAGAGGGGCCCTGGGAGGGAAACAGAGGGCCCGGGGCTGCTGGGAGAGGCTGTCCTGGGAGAGATGGCGGCTTTCTCCTCCTTTTTGTTGCCTAGAACGTGCACGTAAGGGCTGGGGCTCAGCAGCTGCCGTGAGACCTCCAGGAAGGGAGAAAGGAATTGAAGACACCTGATTCTGATGTTGAACTAACGCTCCTAATTTATGGAAGGCGTCGTTTTGTAGGGGTTTCTGTTTCTCACAGCTGAAGGTGACCCTTAGCCGATCCCCTCTGCCAAACAGGATGATAATTTGGGTTTTGTAAGAGGACTCGCTAGGAAGAGGATGTCTGGAACATGCATTTGTGATCTTAGCTTAGTTAGAACACAGCTCAGCTGTGGGCGTGTTTTCTGTCTTAGATAAGACGGCGGATCACCTGCCAGGTGAGGTGAGCGCGTTGAGAAGTGTGAGCTGTTGGCTGAGGCAGGTCTGCCCTTGATGACGTGGATCTCGGGAGGTGGGAAAACACATTCCCGATTCATCTCAGAACACAAGGAAACGCCTCGGATGGCAAAATGAAACCCTGGTAGCCGAGCTGCTCTGGAAGGTGAGGAGGGCTGGGCTGTGAGTGCCCCGTGGCGGAACTGAGGCACCGTGGGGGACTGCTGCGGGGTTGGGCCGAGCGCAGGAGGAAAGGGGAGCCCCAGGTCCCTGCCCACCTCGGCGAGGAGGGGCGGTGGCTATCACTGCAGGGGCTCTCAGGGCTAACTGCTGAGCCACTGCGGGGCGACCCCACCCCCACCACAGGCCGCGTGGGAGGTGTCGTGCCCTGGGGGTGCCATGCAGAGGACATGCCTGGCCTCCGAGAGTGGCAGGAATGCGTTCCCTCCACAGCGGAGGCTGAAACGTGGAGCTGCGGTGTGGGAGGTCGTGCTCCCTCTGGGGCTCCAGGGCAGGGCCCATCCCAGGCATCTCCGGGGTGCCCTGTGTTGGTACCTGGTGTCCCGTGGCCGCGTCCCTCCTGCTCTGGCCTGTGTGCCTGTGTGTCCTCTCCTCTACTTACAAGGACCCCACCCTAAGTCAGATGGGCTCTTCCCAAGCTCCTCAGCTAATGGACGTGATCCTGGTGTGTGTGGGTTGTGGGGGCCTCTTTTTAACCCAAGGGACCGTGGCATCTGGACGTGGCTCTTGTGGAGGGGCTGAGTTCTGAGCCCACCGAGGGCTGCGCAGGGCTGTGCTCCCTGGCCTGGGTTTCTGGGGCTGTGACAGAGCACCCCCAGTGCCAGCCCCACATGGGAGGAAGAGGGAGTGTTGGGCACGTCCCCGCCCCTGACCCCAGGGCTGCCAGGTCCCGCTGAGGGGATCCCACCAGCTTTGGACAGATACCCCCCAGCTCAGCCCCCAGCTCAGCCCCCAGCTCAGCACCGTCATTAGGGCTGCGACGTGCTGTCCACCTGCCCCACCTGGGTCCTGCCCAGAGCGGCTGCTCCAGGGGGCCTGGCTGCCCGAGGTCTCCCCACATCCATCCCCTGCTCACCTCGCCTTTGGCTGGCTCTGCCCACTCCCAACCAGAGGGAGCCTCAGCCCAGAGCCTTCCAGCAGTGCCCGTGCCCTTGGAGTCAGAGCCAAAGACCTCACCTTGGCCCTGGCTGCACCCCTGAGGCCCCCTTGGCTCCGGGAACGCCCCGGTACCCGCCTCGGCAGGGCGGCCCTCCTCTGTCTGGAGGCTCTTCCCTGATGCCATGGGTACTAGCTGCCCTTCCTCAGGCCTTGCTCCCATGCCTCCTACCCTGGCCCCAGCCCAGGTGCCCGGCCCGGCTAGTCCCCTATTCCTGCTGCAATGAAGTAGTGGCTGGAAACTATTTGGTGGCTTCAACAACCCATTGATCCTCTTGGCTCCGTGGGCCAGAAAACGCAGTGTGGAGGCGGCCACGGTCCTCCTGGAGGAGCCACTCCTGCTAGCCTAGTGTCCGGAGGCCACACTCCTGGACGGGGCCCTTCTCCTGCTTCCTGACCTCCGCTTCTGTCACCACATCCCTGTCCCCTCTGATGCTGACTCCCTGTCCCATGGGGGTGAATACACGCAGCACTGTCCTGTCATCCCAGCTGCCCCCCACCTCACACGCCCCGTCATCCCGGCCGCCCCACCTCACACCCACGTCATCCGGCCGCCCCCACCTCATACACCCACGTCATCAGCACTTCCCCACCTCACACACCCCGTCATCCCGACACCCCACCTCACACACCGTCATCCCGACACTTCCCTCCGCCTCCCACCTGCAAGGCTCCCTACCCCAGGTTTTTCAGCCAGCCCCAGAGCCTCAGCCTTCTCCCTGGCACCTCCATTACTACTCTGGTCCATCTCTGTCAAGCCTTGAGGCTGGGCTGTCCTTGCACTCTCCCAAGCTGCTTTGGCCAATGGGGACAGTTAGGGAGCCTCGCAGTGGCTGCAGGCCAGGTCGTTCCCCGTCCAGCCCTGTGAGCTAACGATGGCCTCAGATGTGCTCTATGACCTCAGGAATCTTCTTCCCTCCCGCCTCACACCTGCAAGGCTCCCTACCCCAGGTTTTGCGCCCCAGCCCCAGAGCCTCCAGCTTTGCTTCTCCCTGGCACCTCCATTACTACTCTGGTCCATCTCTGTCAAGCCTTGAGGAGCTGGGCCTGTCCTTGCCCCAAGCTGTGGCGGCCAATGGGGACAGTTAGGGAGCCTCGCAGTGGCTGCAGGCCAGGTCGTTCCCCGTCCAGCCCTGTGAGAGCTAACGATGGCCTCAGATGTGCTCTGTGACCTCCAGAATCTTCTTGCAGTTGGTTCAGGCCTGGGAGGGCAAGGCGTGGGGTTTGCAGGCACTGGGGGCCCCACCACTGTCCCCCTCCCCACCGTGGCCCCGGCTCTCAGGCTTCAAGCCAGGAGGGGCTCTGTCTTGCTTGCCTCTGGAAGGAGAGGCAGAGTGGAGCGGGTGCTGATTTGCCAAGCTCTTTGGAGACTTCTTTGTCATCCTTTTCAAAATAAATTTCCAGAAAGGGACAGGTGAGCTCCTCCTGAGTGTCCCTGTGCTGCTTGTGAGAGGCTGGGATGTCCCCTGGGCCTTGGAGGAGGCGATGGAGGTGAGGGTGTGTGTCAGCGCGGGGGCCGTTCCCTCCCTCCTGTGGTGGGCGGTGCAGAGAAGCGGGTTGGCCTGGAGCCCATGGCTGCCCTTCCACAGGGCAGGCGACGCCCCAGGTTGCCTCGTGTCCTCCTTCCTGAGCATAAAGGAGCTGATTCCTGGGGAGCGCTGCCCCGGGGCCGGCATCCGGGAGTGGCAGGTGCACCTCCCCCGTCCTTCTCCAATGTGGTCCGGTGTTGGTGCCTCTCGAGAGAGCCTGTGGTGGAGTGAGGGGCACTGTGGGTTGTGAGGGGCTGCGTTGGGTCCTGTGAGTCCCTGCCTGTTGGGTCACCCATGGAACTTTGAGGGAAGGCCACCTCCCTCGGCAGCTTGTGTGGGGAGGAGGCAGCTTTGCCCATCCCTCTGCCCACTCCCTGCTTCTGCTTCCGGGGGAGGAATTGGTTTCTCCTTCCTGGGAGTCCCAGGGAGGGGCCTCCTGGGAGAGGGAAGTTATCTGCTCAGGTCCTCTCAGGCCTGTACTGGCCAGGGTCATGGCTGAGTTTAGGTGACCCTTCTTTCCTCCCTCCCTGCATCCTTCCTGCCTTCCTTTTCTCATTCATGCTTCCATGTAGTTATTGATCAATGACTGCACCTACCTCGTCCATCCACTCAATCATTCACCTACCCATCCATCCCTCCATCCCTCTATCCACCCACACACGCATCTACCCACCCATCCATCTACCCATCCGTCCACCCATCCATCTATTTACCTATCCACCCATCCATCCTACCCATCCGTCCACCCATCCATCTATTTTCCTCCACCCATCCATCTACCATCCATCCATCCACCCTCACACACATTATCCCACCCATCCATCTACCCATCCGTCCACCCATCCATCTATTTACCTATCCACCCATCCATCTACCATCCATCCATCCACCCTCACACACATTTATCCACTTACTTATCTACCTACTCATCCACCCACCTATCCACCAACTCATCTACCCACCCATCTATTCATCTATCCACCGTTTATCTACCCACCCATCTGTTCATCTACCCACCCCCCCATTCATCTACCCACCATCCACCCATCCATCTATCCTTCTGTTCATTAACCCACTTGTACATATATCCATCCACTCATTTACCCACTCATCCACGAACTTGTCTACCCACCCATTCATCCATCCACCCATCCATTTACTTACCGCCTACCCATCCAATAATCCTTCTGTTCATCCACCCATCCATCCACCCACCCACCCATCCCTCCACTCATCCACTCATCTGTTCACCTCCCCATTCTCCATTCATCCATCCATCTTTCCACCCATCCACTGAGAGAAACGTTTTCTGAGTACCTACTGTGTGCCTGACACTAGAGATACGATAATGAACAGTGCTGGCACAGTCCTTGCCTTCCAGGACCTTATAGTCAAGCAGAGCAACATCAGTGAACGTACTAACTGCGAATGGAAGAACGGACAGAGGTGAAAACCTGGGTCTCCGATGAGACTGTTGAGCTGAGTGGAGACTGAAGACTTCTTGCTGAAGAACCAATGTGTTTTTGTTTGTTTGTTTTATTTTGTTTTTCTTGAGATGGAGTCTTGCTCTGTTGCCCAGGCTGGAGTGCAGTGACACAATCTCTGCTCACTGCGACCTCCGCCTCCCAGGTTCAAGCGATTCTCCTGCCTCAGTCTCCTGAGTAGCTGGGATTACAGGCGTCTGCTACCACGCCCGGCTAATTTTTGTATTTTTAGTAGAGATGGGGTTTCACCATATTGGCCAGGCTGGTCTCTAACTCCTGACCTCAAGTGATCTGCTCACCTTGGCCTCCCAAAGTGCTAGGATTGCAGGCGTGAGACACTGCCCAGCCCAGCGTATTTTAATTCACCGTCAGTCTTTCTGTAACTTGAGGCTGAATGCATTCCTAATTGTGCTGGTCAACCGAGGATACTGCACCCACATTGCCCCGAAAAAGGAGAGCTTGGGTCCACTGCAGATCTCTCCGTGGAGTCTGACAGTGAAACCAGGGCTGGGAGATGGAGGGAACCCATATCCTGGGACAGCACTTAGACCTGGATCCGGCCAAGCCTGAAGGTGGTTTACTTGTAAACTTCTGAATTACATGAAGCAATACATTAATTTTTTTTTTTTTTGAGATGGGGTCTTGTCCCGTTGCCCAGGCTGGAGTGGGGTGGTGTGATCACAGCTCACTGCAGCCTCGAGCTCCTGGGCTCAAGCAGTCCTCCTATCTCTGCCTCCTGAGTAGCTGGGACTACAGGCGGGTGCCCCCATGCCCGCTACTTAAAAATTTTTGTTTTTTATAGAAATGGGGTCTTGCTATGTTGCCCAGGCTGGCCTCAAGCAGTCTTCCTGCCTTGGCCTCCCAAAGTGCTGGGATTGTGACACGAGCTGCCGTGCCCAGCCCTAAGCCATTTTCTGTTGTTTTCTTACACTTCAAATGAAAATAGTCCAGTCATCTCCTGGAAAGCTCTTCCCAGC